AGAAGAAGGCATCCAAATCGGAGAGGAACGTGGCAGAGAGGAAGGCAGAGAAGAAGGCCGAAAAGCAGAGAAAATTGCGGTGGCAAAAAACCTTCTAAAAGCTGGCGTTTCAATTGATGTTATATCAGAATCTACAGGCTTATCTGTAGAAGAAGTTCAAAAACTTTAGTTTGCTTTTCGCTTAGCTTATAGATTAGGAAGGGGTGTTGGAGTTCCCAATAAACTGTTCTGCCAAGCCTCCGATATCTTCACATTTATTATTTTGTTCTTATATTTACCTTCAGGGTCCTCTACGCATACAGATTGCATATATGGGCTTTTACCAATGATTTGATTTTGGTGCTTACCTGGCTTATCACNTACGGATATGGTTTTACCTACCATATTTTGATTAAATGCAAGCTGTTGCTCATTGATTAACTTTTGCAAACGATGCAGCCGTTCATTTTTCACCTCTTCCGGTATTTGATCTTTCCTTGTTGCACCTGGAGTACCTGGCCTTGGGCTATACTTAAAGCTGTAAGCCTGAGCATAGTTCACTTTTTCCACTAGTTTCATAGTGTCTTCGAAGTCCTGTTCAGTCTCTCCAGGAAACCCTACTATGAAATCAGAGGAAAACTCTATTTCTGGCTTGAGTTTGCGTAACTTGTCTATTATTTCCAAATACTCCTCTGCAGTATGTTTTCTATTCATTGCATGCAATATCTTGTCAGAACCAGATTGTACGGGTAGATGAATAAATGGCATAAGTTTTGGCTCTTGTGCATGTGCTAGATAGAGAGACTCATGCATGTCTCGTGGGTGAGAAGTTGTATAGCGAATCCTTTCAAGCTTCTCAATTTTGGCAATATGACCGATTAACTTCCCTAGATCCCAGATTTCCCCCTCGCATTCTCCATGGTACGCATTGACATTTTGACCAAGTAAAGTAATCTCCTTTGCTCCGTTTGCAACTAGCTTTAGTGCTTCACGAAATATTTCATTTACTGGTCGTGAATACTCTGCCCCGCGGGTGTAAGGCACTACACAAAATGTGCAGAACTTATCACAACCTTCCTGGATGGAAAGAAACGCAGAGGATCCTTGATTTGTTCCGTAACACTCATCTGGGAATTTATCAAATTTTGCTATTTCGGGAAAATCGATATCTATAGTATGGCCCTTGCTTCTACTCGTTTTAACTATCAACTCTGGTAAAGCGGCTATGCTCTGAGGTCCGACAACGATATCAACAAATGGAGCTCTGCGAAACACTTCTTCTCCTTCTGCCTGTGCTACGCATCCAGCTACCACTATAGTAACGTCGTTCTTTCTTTGTAATTTTCCAAGCTCTGAATAAAGTTTTTCTGCTGCTTTCTCTCTGATGTGGCAGGTATTGAA